CGCTGCCTTCGTGGACATCGAGGGTGTTTTCAACAATGTCATGCGAAATCTGGGAGTAAGCAATTCACTAAGCTCGTTTATCGAACGAATGCTAATCGGACGAAAAATAAGAGCAAGATTAGGTGAATCAGCAATAAAAAGGTTCCCGGTCAGGGATGCACCCCAGGTTGGAGTAATATCACCGCTCCTGTGGAACACAGCAGTAGACAGCCTTCTTCGAGAATTTGAAGATATAGGCGGTCAGATAATTGCATACGCCGACGATATTGTAATAGCTATCTTAGATAAACATCTCTCAACATTGACCTCTCTCACCAAACTATCCCTCTGGTGTAATAGGCGACAACTGGGATTGAATGCTGAAAAAACGGACCTTGAGGTCTTCACTAGGAAGCACAAGAATCTGTTCTCGGTAATATAATTGTAGAGGGAAAAGCTCTCGCAGTAAAAGAGGATACCAAATATTTAGGTCTCAAGTGGATAGGAAACTAAATTGGGGGCTCAACATAGCAGACCGAGAGCGCAAAGCAACAGTAGCTCTATATTCTTGCAGCAGGGCAATAGGGAAAATATGGGTGATGGAACCCAAAATATTACACTGGATACAAACAGTTATGCCAATTCTCTATCAAGGTATAGTAGTATGGTGGCAAGTCCTTGGGAAAGGGGTAAACTTAAAAAAAAAAAGATGGGTAAAGACCAAAAGCTGGCGCCCCAACTCATAGCTGGAGCGTTATGGCAATGTATGCTCTATAGAATTTTCTTCCGGGAGACCCGCAATAAAATCCCTCACGAAGCAATCGACAACCTCCAAAAGGTGAGTTCCGCGACATATAGGGGAATTGTAAGGCCGATGGACCGGCGCGACTGGGCCAAAACTTCCTTTTGAGGATATAAATGACGAAATAGAAATACTCTTACAAACTTGTAAGCTACTAAGCAATTGTGTCCGTCCGCTCCTCAGCGCTAGATGCACTGGCCTACCACTGCGCCTATATAAGCACAATATTGGATTATTAGTATCTGTCATAACAGGACACTGTTTGCCAGCCTATCGGCTTGGCTTACGTTTACATGACTTCTGTAAAAGCTGTCCGGATGAAGAAGAGGAGGAAATGATTCTGTACCTGTACCCTGATACATATATCCAGACGAAGGCTTTCCACTCTTGATAAGCAATTCTTTGATAACTTGGAGGACCTTAGATGCATGGAAATCAGGGATCTTCTAAAATTCATGCAAAGTTAGAAATGGTTTTAGGAGGGACTGGGCGGCATCACAATGGGCCCTAAGCCTAAGTGTGTCTTATAGACGACCGCGACAGCCTGACCTAACCTAAGGTGAGTTGAGGTGAGTTAAGCTGAATTGAGATGAGTTTAGGTGGGTTGAAGTTAACTGTGGTGAGGTGAGGTAAGTTTAGGCAAACTGAGGTGAGGTGAGCTGTGCTCCACCAATACTCCAGCAATTTATATGTATCACGGAACACACAGTAAAGTGTTCTGAATGATGAGTAAAGGGTGACAATTATTCTATTCTAGTAAACATCAAATCCTAGAAAAGAGATTCGATATGCATCACCTCTTTGCCGATGCTTGTTTTCTGCTCTACCATAATTTGGTATTCCTACGAAACTTAACCGGCTACGGAAAATGTTTCTGACCAATAGCTTCTACGAACGCCGTCAAAACATCGCCGAGAAGCTTGCACGATGTTAACTACACAGGATCACAAAACAAAAAACAATCTGTGAAAGATTTTCTTGTCCAGACTAGGTGTTTCGACATATTCTGGAAGTTTTAAGAGAAAAGAGTGTGTCAAATCAAAACGAGAAATGAGCGAAAGGTTTCGCTATGCACGGTTGCAATTTGTAGATATTGCACACGGTTGCTTTTAATACGGGTAAACAAATGAACGCACAAAAAGGAAATGGCAAACAAATTTGCTACCGATTGATTCAGTGGAGACGGCGGGGTTGCTGGTGGGAACACAACACGACTATGCGCAATAAACTAGAACGACCGAAATTAGTAGATGGGACAACAAAAATTGTAAGGGGGAACGGCACCAACAGTAGCCAGCAGCGTACAATTATGACTAATAGGGTGAGCCAAAAATTATGGAGCAAACTACTGAGTATTTAAATATATAAAAAAGAAATAAAACATAGTACAAACGGCATTTCGCAACTATTGATTCCAAAAACAAGACCTTGTTTTGGAGTGCACCCCAGATGAGGTCCGACCAAAAGGTTGCGAATCCACTCGCAAAACCTCCCAAACTGCCACTGTTAACTTTAACCCGAAAAGTGACTGGGCTCTGGATGCGGGATGCTCAAAGTGCATCGTCTGGAACTTGCAAAATTATGTATGTATATACGCACCGTCTGGTAGAACCTAGTGATTCGATTGCAAAAATTCCGCGTTACTCGGTATTCGAAAACTCCCGTAAAATTATTAAAAAAACCGACTGCAGAACCGAGGCAATAATCCTAGTGATATACTGAATGAATGGTATAACCGTTACGAGTAACTTATTTTTTAAAAAATCCGTACAACTTGCAAGACTTCGAGAATACCCCTAGTACACTGCGATCCGAAACAAAAGCGATAAAGCGGTTTCAAAGTTGTAAAAATACCTATATACATACAATAAATAAAGCATGAGTGAAGTAAGGTACAAAACAGAGGTGATCAATTTACAAAATGTAAATAAGTGTAAATTAAATGTTATCCCAAAAGTGCTAATTATTATTTTTCACATAAAATTATTCCGACTTGGACCAACAAACAATACGAGGACGTCAAGTAGTTTTAAAGTGAAATATGGCAGACGAACAAGCAGATCTTGTGGCTGCACACCCACCAGCAGGTATGTGGACTTTATGACGCTTAAAACTATTTATATTCATTTGTACATATAGCCGCCCATCGCCCGCAGTTGCAAAACCGCCTAAATCGCCGTTATGGCAAAAAATGAGATTTGGTTACCCTGAACTCCAGATATGGAGATTTATGCATAAAAATCGTGAAAAAAAATAAAAAATTTGTAAAATAATAGCTAGAGAAAATACCGCCTCTCAAGGCAATGCCTTGAAAGAGAAACCGTTTTTTTGCTCTCCTGTAAAGTTTGAGTGCCTTAAGATAAGCGGTTTTGCAGAAATTTTCCTAGAGCATTTCTGCATCAAAAAGAAAATTTTGAAAAAAATGTCGCTAACATCTTTTTGGGGGTCAGGCACGATATTATTACAATGATGATGAAATATCTATATTTTTTTTTACAGTTAAGGCAGGTGGTATGCGCATTGTGCAACACAAGACGCCTACAGCCGAGCGTCCAGCAAATGGTGCCGAGGATTGTACAGAATTGACGGTAAACAATTTGAAAACGTATACATACATACATACATATGTATGTTCAGGTGTTCTTTATTATAATTTTAGGAAACTGCTGGTGGGAATAGCTTGTCTATAAGCGGCGCTCCCATGAAGGGCAATATTGTGCATACACCACAGGCCGTACAGGTCGCCCATGCGCTCAAACCACCGGCCAGAACTATAGCCAAAACAAACACAGCGGAAGCAATAACGATAACCAAAAGACCCCAATAGGAACAGCAAAACCATTCTAATTCAAAGGAGCAAAAACAGAATAATTTTTAATTCGGAGCGTAGGCAACAGAAGCGCGATGCGTTAAATATATATAAGAAAATAGATATAAACAAATTATATAACAAAACTTATTAGAAAATGTACTAATTTTGTAAAACAGCGGAAAAAAATCTAAATATGATGTATATACATAGTTAGAATTTGTATGAAGCATAGAAATTTGTATCTGCAACTAAATTTAACAACAACAGCTGATAGTACCTTTACATTATAGTGCTCATTTCAACACAGCGAAAATTCAATATTCCCGAAAATAATACCTTAAGATGTCATCTGCTCTTTTTATGTTGCAAATTGCGAACCAGCCTAATGCATTGCACTTACAGAGGGCAACAACAACAATGCAAGGGGCCAACCAAATAAAGAAAAAATACGCACAAAAAGGAAGTGAAAAAAAGTAACCAGCTGACTCAGTGGAGAGGGCGGGGTTGCTGGTGGAGAAGACAACAAGACTAGGTACAAGTATTGCACGCATTAAATGGGGCAGCAACAATTTAAGGAGTTTAACTGCACCTACCATCAAGATGTAACAATCAATATAAATATTAGGGTGATACAAAAATTGCGAGACAAATTGCTGATTGTGAATGAAGACGCGATCAAATATATTAAATGGCAGAACGAACGATATTAAGAAAATAATAGTAACAAAAACAAACCCTTATTTGTTAGTGTACCAGTGGTGAGGTCCAACCAAAGGGATATGAGATCATTCGATATCTGCCAAGTGACGGGGCTTTCGCTGCGGGATGCTAAAAGGACTGGAGAGACAATAGGGCGACAACTAACGACAACAGTATGCACAAACATGTAAAAACAAATACGCAAATACTTATGCTGTGGTCGGGGACTATGCGTCGACTACGGGGGACTCCTGAGGGCTTATCATCTACAAGCCTAGTACCAACACAATGGCTCTTTTCGCCTCGCCACGTGCCACACCTGGGTTTGCCTGTGTAGTTACAGACTAAGTACTTCTGCTGAAACTTATGCCAACTATTGATAAGACCACTGTACAACGTCTAGCACCAAAAATCTGCATTGTTGATTTTTTTTAGATACTTTATTATTTATTTCTCCTCTTAGGGATGTTTCTTTCCCCTTTCAATGCTCACTAGGTTCAGCTCCGGCGCGCAACTTCGAGTTGGGCCGCAACCTACGCGCAAAACCGTTGACCCTCAGTGTCTGTGTAGTTGGTGCCCGGCGAATTGGCGCCGGCCCGTTAATTAAAAAAAAAAAACACCATGGACTATCCCATGGCCATCACACGGTGCACAACAAGGCGACGCTGCTATTGTGGTTTTCGCGTCAGCACTTCTGATGCTCAGAGGGAGCTTTTACTCTGTGCGTATTCATACAAAATCTACAGAGAGCTTAGAAGAGTTCCGCCTGCGGGTGCGGTTTTGAACATCACTGATGTGGTGGCACACCACCGAAGTTCGCTGCTTTTCTCTTCAAGCTGAGCTTTTATTCACGAAATTAGTTGCCGGTAGGGCTCGCTCCTAAAACCTATTTGGGGAATTCGTGTGCTGTTGCAATAACAACAAGGCGTAAGCCTGACTTTAACACTCCACAACTGGCTACCATTTATTCACTACCGTGTAGACTTAAAACAGTGTTGTGGTGAGTGGAGTGCACAAATGAAACACTAGGTTCCGGTGTATATCGCTTCAATTTATCTATCTATCCATCTCATCTAGACTTGAATCGTTTAAAGAAAACAGTGAAATTAACGGCTGTTTTTTGCACTCGTTATGTATGTTAGTTCCAACAAAAATGCACTTGCCTTTAATTCTATCATACGACCACTACTAACAGGCGTTAGTTTGGTAGAACTATTTACAGCGTCAGGAAATTAGGTATATGCAAAGATAAGCTTATGCAAGTGCTACAGGAGAAATTGAGCCGTGTCTATCTGATGCACTTAATGTGATCCTACATCAAATGCTAATATAACTCCACAACCGAGAAAAAGATTATAAAAAATCGCTCGTTAACAATTTTTGACTTTTATTTTGTTACTCCTTAAATAACAGTTTTTTCAGATCTTCATTTTATAAAATCAAAATAACAATTATTTTTGATTTTTATCTAAATAATCTTTAAATAACAGTTATTTTAGGTTTTTATATTACATGTCTTCGGTAAGTTATTTAAGACTTTTATTTATGAAAGTTATCAGTCAAAATAAAAAAAAAAAATAAATTTATTTTGAAACTTGATTCTTGGTGAAAAAAGACGAGAAGTATCTATCACTTAGTTGAGAACACGTCCTTCATAGAGAATTTTTCAACAACAGTTTTCATCAATATCTATTATGTTCGGTCCTTGGATTATAAACCTCCTACGACAGATTTCAAGAAAATCTTTCAGGTGCAGTTTATTTCCAGACGGGATTGGAGTAGGGGCGGGATAGTCGAGGATAATTCCACTGAAATCT